ATAATACAGGAAGAACGTATCGGGTGAGTCCAGTGAATACACCTAAATTAATGTCAATGTATGAACCTTATTACGTTCACATCCAGTCAAAACAATATCAACTAACATTTGTCATATAAACAATATGATGCAACCCACCTGAGATTCGTAAGGAGTGAAGGCGATGTTGATTTCTTTCAATGTTTTGATGTATTTTGCAATCGCACTCTTCGTCAACGTCGAAAATAATTGATCCGGACACGCTAAAAAATTATGTTCAGAGTTTGATTATTCCGCAATTGCGATATCAAGATTGAATACCGAGATGGCTTTTTAATCTCTGCATTGGAAAAATTAATAACAAATCAAAAAAAAGGATAATTCACCTTCAGTAAAGAAGACATGAGCACATTTGTACTGATTACGACCATGTGCAAAATCAGCGATCAATTTTTCAATTGAATCTTTCGTCGGTGCCACCAAGTAGATTGCATCCAGACTCTGCAAACAAACACTCACTTCAAACAACATTTCGTATTTTCAGATCTCATTACTTCTCACAAAAAATCTACACAAATCACAAAAGAATCGTTTTTCAAAATAAATTCCAAGAAATCAAAACTTTTGCTCCAAAACTGCGCAATCCGAAAAGGTCAATGAATTTCCCATCTCACTTACAAATTGTCTCAAAGGAATCGCTCGCTCAAAACACACAGCACTATTCGAAGAATGCTATGAGGTAGCAGTGAGGCATAATTAATATCGGTTCAGTGTTGCTTTCAATTGACCAATGAATGATACTGCTGATAAGAAGTGAGGAAAGGCGGAAACCGTGAGAGGTTCTCTGCGTTTGTTGATGTCCTCGACGATGGTGATGCCTTCGTCCATGATATCGTGCATCTTACAACAAGCACTCAGCATCCTCATCGCCAAACGATCCACCACCAACACATTCCATCCTCCACTCTTATCGCTTCGTCGCAACGGTCGAATCACCTCATTCAGTAACTCTTAATTTTGCCCTTCTTACGAACAGTCAACTTCGAAATATGTAATCCATTGTTGAAGGAGTTTTGTGAACAAGAAATCTTTTCGTTTAGAATTTATGACATATTTGCATTAACATCTTAACGTGATTATGCTGATTCGTTCCATTCATTATTGTTACTTTCATTATTAAAATTATTGATGTTGTTTCATCAGAGTATTATAAAAAGCAATGCACCAATGCTGACTGTCATTGTTATGATTTGATTGTCGATTTAGTGGTCGACTATTAGTATTATCATTAATATTTATAATTGTTGGTGTGTGTTATTGCTTGTCGTACACATCTGAGTATTTGAATGAAACGAATAGACCAAAAGGTAGCNATCATATCATTCTATTCATATCATATCTCTTGTATTCATATCATTCTATTCACACCCTCCTCAACTCTCATTATAATGTCATAATTCAGCAAGACTCTGAACGTGTGCAATCACAAATAGATGCCATTATCAAAGAACAAAACGATAAACTACTTAGGTACGTTGCATTTCACTGGCGATTACTTTGTTACTTGCATCACTATCGCTTTCATCGTTATCACTATTGTTTAGATCACTATGATTACCATTATTATTACTGTTAAGATTTATGACGGTTTCAATCTTTCTGATTGTTTAGATTAAAAGAATTGAAACGAAAAATTGATTCAATTTCATCTACGGATAAACACGCCAGAAGACAGAAGAGACATCTCAAGGTTGTCCTTATACTTTACTTATTATTATTGTAACTGCTTAAGTAAGGTACATAACAATAATCATGATTACGTTAATAATCACAATATTTGTAATGAATATTTCAATGACAACATTGAATAAAATAGAATAAAAATCAAAATAATTAAAGAAAGAATACGAATCACTACAAACCGAAATATCGAATGAACAACAACAAGACGAGTCATCAAAGAATTTACTTATCAATAACGGTCACAATGTACCTACCCCATCAGAAAGTTCCGAATCGATCTCAAAGGATATCGACGCGCATCCCTCAGTTCTCAAGTATACTTTCGGCCACCATTATTATTATTATTCAGTCAACTAACAACAACATAAGATAAATTCGATAAATTATTAAGAGAAAGTGGTATAAAAACCAATCGAGACGANAAAGAGAATGCAATGAACGAATCGTCAATGGATCAGTTCGGTTTCATGGAACAAACTCAACACATTCATCAAATTCGAAAACAATTCAAACGACGGTTTGTGTTGCCATTATTATTATTACCGCTAATATTATTATTATGGTCATCCAGCTAACGATATCTAAACAAGAGGAATCGAATCATCTTTGCATAAATCACTGAACAATAGCGATAATGGACACTTACATCGCCACATCTGTTAAATCAATCAAATTTACCAAAGAAAATTCAGAATAAAAGCAGAAAAGGAATTGGAACAATGTGAAGTAATTGTCAGTAAACAATTGGACAGATTCAAGAAGGATATTAATGAGAATATGCGAACAGAAAAGGATCGAATTGTGCATCAGTACGACCACAAAATCAAGTCGTTACAGCAAAAGAGTAAACTCAAAATTAAAGCGCTTCAAAAAGCGGTTAGCATTTTGTATTTGGTATTACACTATTGTTATTTATTAATGTTACAATTAACGGCTAATCTAAATTCAACTGCATTGTAACGATGACAACACAGAAATGGTGATCGATTTGAGATGAGATGAGATCAAATGAGATGCAATCGAAGACATTTGAAGACATTCGAAGGCAGCTGAAAAGTTTGATTGATAGAAGAATATGACAAAGACTTTAAAATGTCAAATTCATTTGTTAGTTTACGAACTTTTTCAATATTCAGATGAGAATTTCAGTTGAAGGAGCTCGAGTTATTAG